CGCTCGAGTATTATTATATGCGAAACGCGAGAGGACGCGAGAGAGCAAACGAAGGCCTGGCTTGCATAACGACATCGATTCGCGAGCGCGCGCCGCGTGAGTCTATCGCCCCGGTCGCACACTCGCCGCGCTTCCGCCGCTCCCCGAAGAGTCTTTTCAATTTTCAATATTTCCCTATTTCGCTGCCGCCGCCGCCGACGACGTCTCCAACCCGCTGGCGCAAACAGAGAGTAACGCGAGCTCTCTTGATGTTTTATTCATTGCACTCAGCGCGCAGCGCCATCTTGAGTGACTCAATCAGACAATCTCACATGCATTCACGACCACCAAAAAATTCAAACATCACGATTGAAAAAATACAAGAAAAAAGAACAGAATCGTGCAAATTTTCAAATTTTAAACAATTTTAATCAAATTTTGAGGACTTTTTGTACTCACGATTGAAAAAATATCAAAAAGAAGTAGAAAAGAATGATGCACATGCGCAGTATTGTAGTAGGCGGAGCAAAAAGACCAGAAAAATTGAAATTTTCAAATTTTAAACGATTTTAATCAAATTTTTGTATTTTTTGTACTCACAATTGAAAAAATATCAAAAAGAAGAAAAGAAAAATTTAGAAAAAAGTCGCACATGCGCAGTATTGTAATGGGCGGAGCAAATTGTTGCGAAAACATAAAATTTTCAAATTTGAAACAATATTAATCAAACTTTTGTACTGAAGCTAAGCTAATGACACCCAATTATCTCAACTGCGCGTTATGCGCGTTGTTAATCCGAGCCGCGTAAAGCAATTTCAATTATGGCCCTAGCGGCGCAAGCTAAGCAAACATTTGACTCGCGAACAAGTTGCACCTTGTTACGATTCGCACTTCTGGCCGCTCTTGAAAGCGCAGAAGGCTCGAAATCGGCTGCGACGCGGCCGTGCACGCTCGATGTGAATTACGCATACGGCACTCGCGCCGGTCGGGACGTATTTTAATTCGATTATAATTGCGCGACGCGCATGCATGTTGCGGTCGCGTCGGAGTCGGACGGACACATGCGGCGTGCGTTCGTTAACTTCGGCCGTTCGCATGAGAACTTCTCTAGAATGAGATTGCGCATGGCCTAGGCTGGGGTTTAATTCGCGAGCGCGCAACACAACGGCGCAAAACCAATAAGTGCATTTAATGAAACGGAAAATTTATTAATGCCGCTGCAGCCGGCCGGGGCCCAAGGGAAAATCGCAAGCGTTTATTTATAGCGCTAATCAATCAAATAATTAAACTCACCACTACTACCACTCACAATCGATTGCAATTATTCGGATCGAGCTGGAATACACCTACTGCTTTTGCGCAATAAAAATTAAACGGTGAAGAAGTTTATTTTCACAAAAATAAAATCATTGTTTTCGTTAAACGTTACAGTTCCTGTTTTAATGTTTTTCCATATAAAATCAATAGCCAGCCATAAGCGCGGCAATTGCACAACATGCACTCATTGTTTATACGATGCGAGCGGCAGTTTTAATCAATCAATATATTGTGTTTTCTATTAATTGGAAGGCTTACGTAAGGCGCCGCGTGAGTTGCGCAACCAATTTGATTTTCAAATCGGTTTGCCTGCCATCGCGCGGTTTGGCGAATTAAAACCGTATTCTTCTTGTGTGCGCATTCCAGCGCACATTTGAAATTTAAAACGAGAGAACCAGCCAGATTTATTAAACGCACCGATAGTCAATCAGCCGTGGAAATTTATACTTATGTGAGATTTGAAGCTTTTCTCGGAATGTACTTTTATGGAATCATAAGAAAATTAATTCCTCTCGTATTCTTCTTAATGTTTTCCAGATTATTGCCGTTATATTGTGTCAATAATATATTATAGTCATATTTACTACCGGCAACTTCCTTCATATTCAACATTCGGTGAAATTGTCTTTGCACGAGCGCTCATATCCTCGTCGACGTCGTCGCATATTGAAAACTCACTCTCTATGCCTGGCAGATAAGAGCGCACATAATATTATAATTTCGCGATGCATTCGCGTGCGACGCGTGCGTATAAACTCGACGCTTTATGATAAGGCGTGCGTTTTACAGTCGTTTTGCAGTGTTGCACTCTGCGTCGCGCAACAAGTCGCCTGGTGTATTAATGTCGAATTTATGCGCTCGTTTGGTGTCATCTCGACATAATAATTGCAAATATTTTAAAATAATTAAAAACATAAACATCAAAATCTGCAGAAAATCACTTTTTCGCTCATCAAATATAAAAAATAAAATTTTAATAAATCTATTATAAATAAAATAATTCTCTTTCAAATTTGCTTTCTAATGACACCTCAATCAAGATCCTGGCACTGTAAAATCCTGAGTTACAACGCGACAAACTTTAATGGAGAAAACGTTGTCTCTTTGATTTTTTTTTTAAATCATAACATTAGGAGTTAAATATTTTAACAAGGTATGTTTAACAACATACCCAAACGATAAATTATTATAATAAAATAAGTATCGCAATAAAATTATAAAATCGAAGGTCGGCGCGCCTCGCGCGTTTATTAAATATTAATGCAGCGCACACACTCACAGGCATCCATATGTATGGCGTATAAATAAATAAATAAGTAGCCAGAGTCGAGAGCTAGAGTATACACCGGAGGAGCACCGACAACAATCACGACCAGAGCGAGAATGCGACACCTACGCAATTTTCAACTGCCTGTCGTAAAAGCTACCTAAACGAAAATCCACTCCGGTAGTTTTAACAAAAATTTAAGAATGCTATAATGAGAAGACGTTTTATGCCAATTTATGCAGCGCATATCGTGGATATTTTACAAAATAAACATGAAAAAAATAAACTAAATGAAATTATTAGTCTAGTTTTACGTTCTGGATACATGAAATTATTATTAGTATTGTATGTTTAATATTTGTATTATTATTGATTGAAAAACGCATTAAAATAATTTGTGCACGCGTGGGTAGAAACGACTAATTGCGGCCGTTATAATCGACACCGATTGTACGAAGCCAATAACGATTTCCGAAGTGATTGTTCGTGCGCCGCGTGGCTTTTGTTGACATTCGCAGGCATATTTCCATAATGAAGTAAATTAAATTTTAAAAAGCTAATTGGCCGGCGCGTGCACGAAATGTGTGTACATACCAACAAAAGCAATCGCATAAATGCGGAGTAAATGGAGTAAAATGCTAATCGCGACGTCGACGTTCGAGACCTGGAGACGAAATAATGAAGCCGAGCGTATTAACATACGAGTGTTTGTTACCATGTTACGAATGCAGCGCCGGCGTAAACGAACAGTTAGTCAACATGTACAACATTAATGCCGAGAGTTATTTACATATATTGTGTATGCAACGCTGGGTCACCGACGCTTTTTCTAAGATCCATCTGATGAATAATAAAATGCATAATCGTTGTTAGTCGGTCAACTTCGACGTCAACACACGGACGATTAGCAAACGAAACATGCGACTAGCGACATCTATGCAATGATAAATCAATCCGCATCGAAAGGAATTCGGTTGGAATAAAAATACTGCGCCCGCCGGCTTGCTTGGCTTGTCGAGATAAATACGCCGGTGTTTACACACCGTGTCTTATCACACCAATTTTGGCCTAACACAACAAACATACAACAAACAGTCTCGAACAGGCTCGGGAACAAAACAATCGAATATCGACTTGGAATGAAATAATGTTACGATTCTTACCGGACTTTGCCTGATTGTATTTGCTAGAAGCGTTACTCACGCGAAATAATTATTTGTTAGGTTATGTTGACGCGTTCAACATCAGGTGGTTTTGTTTGAGTGCGAAAATCAAACAAAAGCAGACGAATGATTTCAATAAAAGTAGAATATACTACTAACAAGACATGTAGACAATCTAACATTACATGAAGACAATTAAGAATAAAACATAAAGATTCTTACCTTAAACACTTGGCGTGATTTGCCGGTGCTGTGCGTCTGGAATCAACGTTGAACCATAGCACGATCACTCGCGAACACTCGCGAACGCGATTCTAATCTGTACCTGCACGCGGACTGCTCGCGATATTGCTTTGTTTTACTGCATTTATTCAAGTAATCAGACGAATTCTTGTGTAAGATTAATAGTGTAATGATAATTTAATTGACGAGTGCAATTTCTGACGGTTTATTGTGTTTTCACGCGTTAAAAATGAGATATTTTGATGTAGTAAAACAAAACAGTGCAGTCACGCCGCGCACAAGCAAGACACTGAGTAGCAGAGCGTCGCAGACAACGCGTGTGTTAGTTGAGTCATGCGCCGATGCAAATATGCAGCTCGCAGAGACACACTTTGCGATAAATTATCGCGACCAATAGGTAAAAAATGTAAACAAACAGTTGAGATAAATAGAAATATTCAAATACATTCCACGCTAGAAAATACTTGTTGTTACATGTTTATGAAAAGAATAAATGCATTATTTTACTTTAGTAATTAATCATTCAAAAAGTAGACATGTTTAAATAATAATTTTTAAAGAATTTAGTTTCTTGTTTGTTGTAAAATTAATTATTAATTATTACGTTGGATTAAATAGAAAAAACGAATAGTGACGAAGAGATTTCGTAAAATTTACGTAATTTCCTTGTTTTTTGTTTATAACTTTGTTTAGAATAATGCAAATCACGCAATTTTACGCTATTCGGTGTATAATTAAATAACAAAGGTAATTATGTAAGGATTATGCTTGTAATAGTTGTAGTTTTTTAGTAATCAATTAAAAACCAAATAAATGTACTTACTGTTTGCTTTTTGTGGAATATGTTATGAATAGCGGTCTAAAACAGTAAAAAATTATATTTTAATCAAATAAATGACAAATTATTCAATAAATAAACAAGAAACAATAAATATCACTGAATTTATTTATAAAATGATAAAAAAATTGATATTTTGCCCTGAAAATGCAAAAGAAAGAATTTTTTGGTACAAAAAGAAGAATGGAATCAATTTTATGATAAACTATGTAGTTTATTTGACTTTCATATACACTCACAAAATGAGAGGCGGCACAAGCCGTAGGATACAAACATTTACCTATTAATTATTATTATTAATATTCATTATTGATTCATCGTAATAATTATTATGCTTGTTTGTTTTTGCGTTTCTTGTATCTTGGTTTCGTGATTTCGTTTCTGTCCGTTGCATTTATTTCCATGCTCAATAATTTTCAGTATTACGTTTCTTTGTTTTGTATGTTATCGAAAACTGAATAGATTTCGGGGATGGTGTATGTGTTTCAGTGTGTTGTTTAGTTCTCTGTTTGCATGCAAACATCGTTCACATTTGCTCACCGGGAAAAGGTAACAACCAAAAACGAACGCAACAGATTCTGTCGGGGAGTTTTCATCATAATAAATCATCATCATCATCAACATTGTTCATCTCATTTTATATTGTTATGCATTTCGTTTGTGAATGTGGAGTGTAAATGATTCGAAATAAAGTCTAATGCGTAGAAAAATTAAAAGAAAAACCAAAAAGAAAAACAATCCATTCGTCAGTGATTTGTTTCGTTAATGTGTAATAATTGGTAATAAAGCAAAAAACTCATTTTTCTCCACCGCGTCAATCAACAATAAATAAACAATAATTTGTAATAAGTGTATGTGTGTGATGCACTCGAATTTTCCATTTTTTCGAAAAACAATCTTTTCTCAATGTTTGCTTCTTTTGTTTGGTTGTTGTTAATTTTTCTCTCTCATACACGCGCGTCTATGTTCATCTGCATCGTCTCTTATCGAATTACATAAATTACATAAAAACTAAATTTTATTTACATCACAAAAAAGTGTTTCTTTATTCGAGGAGAGAAGTGGCGATCGTATCTTGCGATAGAAATCAAATAAAATAAAAACGAAAAATATTTCAAATGTCTAAAAAGTAGCTTGCATTTTCACAAATAAATAATGTACAATAATAGGTTCTCGTATAATAATAATAATAATAATAATAATAATAATAATCTAGTCATATTATCAGATTCGTAAACTTATCCTATGATCACTGTTGTTTGTTTCAAAGTCTTACGCATAGCGTAAATATAATTCATAATTTATAATAATAATAATAATTATAATAATATTCGTATTGTTACTTAAAACACCATTCATCGTCAAATCATCGGTCTCGGTCAAATCATAGCAAATAAATGCGCTAGTGTACATTTTCGTCGCCGTCGCCAGGACAACGAAAACGCTGTTTATATGTTTTGTACAGCATTTCTATATTTATATTTACAAAGATGCAACTCATGTGTTTCAACTCCTCTGCTTCTGTACATAACTTATATTACTGGCTTTGTATGTACAACACAGTGGACAGAAGTCGGTTTTTGTGTGCGAAATTAAAAACAAAATCAGAGTAGGTAATAATCAACGTATGTACAATCATAAATTATAACGTGTGTGTTATTTCGTGTGGTGTCATCGTAAAGAGTGTCGGATAAAACATTTCGTAATAAATCAAAAACAAAACCAAATTTCAATATAACTGCACTGCATAATTAATCAATCATAAGGGGTTCGCGATAAAACTTAAAAAATTATACCAGTAAAACAAAATTCCGCTCTGAATAACACAAAAAATGAAGAAATAATACAAGAATGGAAATTGTGTGCAAAAGTGAAAGTCATGCGTGTGATACAAAGCTAGTAGTGGAAGAAATTCAACGCTACCGTCCGCTAGATGGTGTTAGTCAGTTAGTTAGCATCTTTGTAAGTATAGGGCTGAAAAACAAGTGTTAGAATACAAGATTGGTTTGGTTATACAATTCGAGTGCATGAGAGAAATATTTCGATTGAGCATTTTCTACTTTCTGTTTAAAAAAAACAAAGCGAAGAATTAATTTTAACAATAATGGCGTCAACAAAACGTTCATCGTCTGCATGATCAGTATTTCTGAGTTTTCGGTTACAATTCTTTCCTCCAGTGTGTCATAAAAACTTTCATCTTCTTTGTAAGTATATTTTAGTAATAAATTTTGCGATATGAAATATATTAGGAACCACGTTTACGGACGCTTTTGTTAGTTTTGTTTGTTTCGAGCTGGTTTTCAATGGTGGTGGTTTTTTCCGTTTTGAAAAACGTCCAATGTAAGAAAGAGGAGAATTTCGTCAACAAATCGTTCGTCGTCCAATTTCGTCCACGTTGCGCACGCGTCGATAAATACACACTTGTCCTTATACAATTAATAATATAATAATATGAATAGTAATAATAATCGTGTAATACGTCAGAGGTGGAGGGGGCGCCACCGGCGAGCGGCGAGCGCACGCGCCACGTGTCACATTCACTTAGCATTGCTAGGTTTGTCTCGCGCGCATGACAGCGCGACTTACGCACGCGCACACTCTGTCACACGTATGGGCGGGGCAAATTATCAACCAGAAGCGTTTCCAGTCCGTTTAAAATCAATGTTTGCACATCTCAACCGATATGTTTTATGTTTGGGTTTTTTGTTTGAATTTGTTTTCATTAAAACTCAACGTTTATCGTTGATAATTTCGGTGCGTAGCGCGTCAGAGCTGCGTGGTGTAAGTGTGCGCATGCGCGCGAGTTTCAACAATCACACTTAGTTCCAAATCAACTCACTAGAATGCGAGGCAGGTCACACCGGAGTGTTTCCCAATTTGAGTTATTTTGGATACGTTTTGTTTTGTTTTTGTTTATCATATTATAACCTAAGAGTTTTCTTCACCGTCCCCACCATCGCGTCTTCATTAATATTATTATTAATTATATATTTAAAATTTGTTTTAAATATATTATGTACCATTCTCGCTCGCTACCGCTATATGTATTATTTTTTGTGTGTGTTAGTTTATCATTCATGTTATTCAATTTTTAAATATCATACGTACAATTTTCCGCCGGCCATTATTATTAGGTTTTTTTTTAGCTAGAACCAACGTTACTTTTTTGCTTGTTTAAAACATAACTATATTATTACTTAAACACCGTATCGATTATTAGTAATTAGTAGGAACCAATTTTTCATGTTTTAATGAAGTATTTTTTTGTTTGTTTTACTCTTACACGTCTTGCATGAGATGCTGGCTGCGATTAAAAGAGTTTTTAGTCGATTAGTACCACGACGAGAGAACGAAACGATCCGCACCGAGTTATTAAACGTGTATAATAATCGTGTGAGTGAGGTTAGGTTCGAAACCGAAGGATAAGAAGCGTCAGCTTGCGATTTTTTTGTTTGTGTAACTTTTAACTCTTGTTGTTGAAAGAAACCAGCGATGATATTTATATTTATATATATATATACTCGTACATATACATTAATCATACTTTGTGTCGTTCAATTGTTAATATATATAATATTTATATTATATATAGCATGCTAATTCATCTGTTTAAACACGCACGCCTTTCATATCTATAACTTTATAATAATAGTAATAAGTAATAAAAGATTTCATTTTTCATCTCAATTTCATCTTTCTTTCATCATTTACGTAATAATTTAAATATAATGAATAAAAAAAGCGCCCGCGCTCGACGCGTTGCATGCGAATATTATGCTTCGTTTGTTTCGATCGTTTTTGAGGAACTTTTGTTTTAGTTTTAATTTTTGTTTTTTGTTATAAGTTAGCTTTTTGTTTGTTTGCGGGCCGAACGCGGGCGTTATAGGAACTTGTTTTACTGGGTCCGCGTGTAGTTTTCGCCGCGGATTATGATCTAATCGAATTGCTGGCTTAAGTCGCGCGGAACCCTCGATTATTTGCGCGCGTGCGAGTCGTGCGTGTGCGCACACGACTCAGCGCGCTATTCATTTGATTCTTGGAGACACCATCTGCATGCAGTACAGTATATCTACATCTCGTTTGTTTTTTTTTCTCTTCCGCTTTCATCTTCATCATTTTTGTGTGTGTTGCATTTGTTTTTTAGGAACATTGTAGTCGCAGTTTTGTATAATAGAAATGAGGAACTCTGGCAGCTACATTTCATTTTGTTTTTCGCTAACTCTTATCAAGTGTCGAAATGTCTTGTTAGTTTATGTGTCTTATTCGCAGTAAGTTTCCACTGGAATTAGTATCCATATTAATATGTACAATACTCTAATTTTATTTATAGTGTTTAGCTTGTTGTTTTTGTAGCTTTTTTGTTACTCGTCGCTTCAACTCGTCGTCGCCATTTTGATTGGGTGCCATATTTGAATGTGGCAATATTCATGTGTTTTGTTTTAGTAACTATACGTTGCTGATAGGAATCATCGGACCTTTTCTTGTTTTTTCTACGTCGACTATACACAATAACTACACTGACACACAACGAACTACGATATAATTAATGTATGTATAATATATATATGTTATGTATATATATAACGTTTAAAAATAGATCAGCTGTAAATATAATATATATTCACTATTCATTGCTTATTAATTTAGTGTTTTTTTTTCTTTCTGTGCCTTCTCTTCGTTAGCTGTCTGTTTGTAGAGTCAAATGACTTACCCAAATAATTTCGTTTGTTTGATTAGAGCAACTGATAGAAGTAGAGGGTTGGTGGTTTGGTGGTTGATTACAATGTGTGAATGATACCAGATTTCCTCTTCTTGTGTGTAGGTGTGTGTCCGATCCGATCGTCAGCGTTTAGGAACTTTGAGTTGATTTTTCGTGTTTTGTTCACGTTTTAAGTTTAAAATTTAGTTGTAGGCGAATACTAAGTAAAGTAGAACGCAAACATCATCATTATCATCATCATCAGAGTAGTAACAATATAAATCTAATATTATTTAAACAACGACGAGTGGCGAGGCGTTCAAAGTCCATGTTTTTTATAAAGTCACAATTTTGTTTTAAGTCAATTTTAGTGCTTCCGGTGGTGGTGGCAAAAACCGTCGTTTAGGTTCCGGGGTGCAGCGAACGCATTCGAGTTGGAATCGACTGCTGGTGACGACTCTTGGGCGGCTCGCGCCGCCAACAGAGTAATCTGATTGACGACATCCTCCATTTCGTGACTTAGAGGATTCTCCGTCGGCAGGGCGCCCGTGATGATCTTCAGATGCTGGTCGCTGGTCTCGCAGTGCTTGCGCAGGTCCAATAAGGTCTTGAAACGTTCGCCGACGCAGAGTTTGCACTCGTAGCCGATTTGAACGATGCGGAAGGCTCCGCGTGCGTCCTGTTTACCGCTGAAGCACTGCCGCTGATGGATCAACAGCGGAGACTCGCCCGGAAAAGCAACGCGACACTTTTTGCACACGAAGCACAGCTCGAGGTCGATTTCACGCGCCGGATAATCACGCGAGTGTGCATCATTCGCACCTGATGATTGAGATGGTGGAGCGCGGATTGTGGTCACTCCCGGTTCGTCGGCGTCGTCGCCAGCAATACGCTCCATTACACCTGCTGGAAGCGGCAGGAACGTCGGACCGGCGCCGGTGTCTAGAAGCAGTCCTCCGGTTCGCCCTGTAATCACAAACGAAGAAAAAAATTAAATCAATAAAAATTCAACGGCGTTAAGACAAGCATAATAATCGTAAATAAAACCAACACATTTCTTTTCTTGTTTTATTTTTTGTTTTTTGCTTAAGCGTATGTTTTTTTTTTGTAATTTTCAAGGTGCGATAAGAGTCAGAAGAAGAGGACCGAACACATCGAAAAACATTAAACATTCCGAGCGGCGCATATCGGACCGGTTGTTCAGTTCGGATCGGTCAATCGCCCACCGGCACTGACACTCACAAACCATCGATGGTCACACGAATAGTGTTTGTGTGGGTTGTTTGTGTGTAGTAGTTGTGGCGGCGACCCGTAGCGCACGCTGCACGACAAGGCGCATCGATTCCGACGCGTTGTACTAAATTTGTATCGAGCCCTTTTTTCTGCTTCGGCGATGCGATGTTACTGATTAAATTGTAGTTAAAAGTCGCATCCCACTCAATCACAATCGGAAAACAAGAGGACATCGCGTCGTAAATTAATCCCCCTGGTTTTTTTATAAATAAACCTTTAAAATTCTAATGCAAAATTTCGTATAAAAATTTCCTTTGTGGTTTTTGATTAAATTTTGCAATTTTCAATTTTTTAATCTAAAGCAGGGGAATATTTTTGCAAGGAGGGTAAAAAAATAAATTGCCTCTTTAATTGCGCGCCCTTATTATGCCGGAGTGTGTGCGCCCGACTATAAAACTTCAACTCGTGCGGGGGTTGTAAAGGGGCGGTTGTACATGGTGTGGGGTGGCGGCTATACAAGCGACGAGAAGAAATACTCGCTTCTTAAAATTTACTTTCGCGAGTTATAATAGCCTCGTTGCCGTTGCTCGGCTTCGTTATGACCGAGGGGTGGAAAAATCAAACCAGCGTGTGCAAGCAACCCTAGGAAAATAAGAAAACTCCGCGGGACCATTCTTCACATGCATGCCATACGCAGATATTTTCAATTTAATATAAAAAAACAAAATTCAAAAAATGAAAGTAGAAATCGTAAATTGATGAAAACAAAAAAGTTATTGTTTAATATCTCCGAATTGCAATTAGATAGACTATTGGTTTGATAAAAACAGAAATAGTTATTTAATTCTGCGTATAATGTGTTAAAACTGTATAGATTGCATTTTTAGTTAAAAAGTTATAAACAAAAAACAAAACAAAATGGAAATTTTTGACAACTTTTTAACTTCTTCTCTTAATAACTTTTTAAATAATAATTTGTTTTGAACGAATATTTTATTTTTAGTAGTGCAATTTATTCCTAACATATTTCTGTTAAAAATTCATTTGTATTTTATTGCAGTTTCAAATAATTAATTATTTTCGAAGCAAAAAAAGATTTAAACTTAAAAAAAATCAAATATTAATACATATACTTTGTATATTTAGTAAAATACTTGACTGTTTATTAGATTAATGAGCTCTCTGCTCGCTTCGGACGCTTTGCGAAACCATAGAGCAGAAATTGGGTCGTTCGAATCGTTTTCACTGACGTCACACTCATTGTGCTCCCCGTGTTATTGTATTTATCGACATTGTGCGCGCAGTGCACGGTTTAATTGGATTTCAGTAATTATGCACCACGACACATGTGCGCGCCTCAAACCAAAGCGTATTAAAAAGCATTAACTAAATTAAATCAAATTACAACTAATCATTATACCCAAAGAAATCTTACACAAGAAAAAAATTTTTTTTTTAAATCCAAGCAAAGAAAAAAAGTTGTTTGGTGATTTTTTCTTGTTTAAGCACGCATATGTCTATCAGTTTTATTTAAGTGCGTCCAGATATTAAATTTAAAATCACTTTTATGTAAAACGCTCAAACACGTTCGACCGAGTCTGGCGAGGCGTGCTACGTTTTAAACTTTAATCGTCAATAAAAATCAATACTTTATTTATGTATTTTGACCGAAGACGGCCGTAAATTTCGCAATAAACTCGCGACTCTCGAAGGGTGCGTTCGTTTTTCAACGTTTTTCATCCACACAAAGTAAAAATCTCGAAAAACTTTTAAATCAGTTGATAAATTTAAAAAACCGAAGATAAAAAGAAGCTCAACCACGATAATTCTTTGTCTCGTTAATAATTAACGTCGCACAAACAGGAAGAACGCGCGACGGACATGACGTCACACTCTCCGCGGCGCGAGTAATTATAGTGTGAATGCGTGGGCGCGGGCGCGCACTTGACAAAGTGTAATTAGTAACGTTAATAGGGATACCAGTAGTTAAAATAATTACCGTTTTACACGGGCAATTGTTCGTGCTCATCACCACCGCGCGTACACCGTCTACAACTGATACTCATACAAACAAAAACGATGTTTGCGGTGGATTTTCGTGTAAGTAGTCGACAAACATTAAATATGAACAAAGTGATTAATATTAGAGCGCGAGACGTGTGCCGTCTGGGCTAATTAAACCCTTCCTTCCGGTTGCAACCCTTTTTCAAAGGGAACTCGGTGTTAAACAGCGCAACAAGTGCTGAAGGGTTAAACGAGCAACGCGAGCACTGTTAAGATGTTCACAATTAGCTGATTCGTCGAAATGAATCCCCCTCGTTTTAAAACAACGGAAGCTAAGTGAATTAACGAAAATTAACACTGGCTACAGTTTTAATTAATATAAAACAAGTTAAAATGTATCTCAGGGTGTTACTTTTACGACTACAAGAGAAGGATGAATCATGAATGAAGCAATTTCGCTGCGCACGCTTGATAAGTTTCCCGAAACGAATCTTAATGCGAAAGTAGCTCGGAGGAATACGCAATCAGCAATCAATACTTTCGAGAGCCCGCGGCGGCACATCGCGCATCCCCATGCGACGACGAGGGTGGATTTTAAAAAACGTGTCCCTCGCTTTTTTATGCGCTGCGGTTGATTGTGTGTGTGTGTGTGTGTGAGTCGTATAAAGATTTTTTTATTTCGTGAGGGGTGCCAGTCGCATTCGCGTGACTCATTTTTTTTCGCCGCTTTTTTCTCTCGCGTGGGGGAGAGCAGAGAGCAGTGCGGCACTTATTAAAGGGGGTGAAAGACGTCTCGCTGAATATCTGCACATAAAAAATGCAGCCCCTCGGAATAAAAAAACGTTTTTCGACGCGCTGTGCGTGTGTATGTGTGTGTGTGTGTGGGTGAGTGGGTTTTTAATCGAAATTTTGATGATAAAGCCGGCGCGCAGAAATATATGGAGCGTAATTTATATTAAGATGAGAGCTGAGAAACGAAAAAGAAAAAACACACACACACAGAGAGCACACAAGTCAAAATTTTTCCATACAAGAGAAAAGAAACAAAGAACATAAAAGCCTCTCCTCGTTTATTCAGACCCTGATTAATGCCCATAGAATAATTTTTATTTTACACAGAAATGTTGGTGCAATGTTTCACTCGCTTTCGTACTGGGTAAATGGTTACTGACCTTTGAAATAGAGGCCAGTATTGGTCCGTAGTCGCATTGTGACGAATTGAATTCTGAAAGATTGAAAAAACAAAAATAATTTTAACACAAACACTCGGATTATTAAAATTTTTCAAAATTTTGATCCAATCAAAAAAATTTGTCGTATTCTTTCGGTTGTCGTATGTGTAAAGTTGAAAAAAAGCGCTAATCAGGGTCAAATAATACTTTTGCAAGATAACCAGGCAACAAGGCAACAAATAAATTCACAAAAACTACTTAAGCATATAGATATAGAACACACGCACGATGCGGTCGTTGAAAATGATGGAAAACCCACTAAGAAAGCACTAAAACGCATGAACAGGGTGCGCATTTAATCGACGAGCGGTAAACAAACGAATTACACAACAACTCGCCCCCGCCGAAAAACGCCGAAGTGGTGCCACTCGGTGCACGGCGCGCTCGCGGCTTTATATTTAAATATCGCATGATTAACAAATATTAAATAAAAACGTTCGGATACTAATTTTGGTTTTATTGCGAATACGAAAATCACGCAAGATATTATATATACGATCATCGAAAACGTTTACAAATCGTGACAAACTCTCGACAACCGGATGTGCGTTCCATGCAGAGGGTCGGTCTCGACGCGTTTGTCATTTGACATTATTGATGGTTAATTTGTAACACCAGCTCGGATTCCAGGTAAAATTCAGGCTTCATTCATTCAAAACGCAGAGAGAAAACTTGTGATGGTGAATGAAGAGAACAATAGCGCGCTATCCTAGGTAACGAAAATTTTCAGAAGTAAAATAAATGTTGCCCCTTACGGTCGGCAACATATACGAAACAATGCACATCGGAATTCGTGCGTAAACACACGAATATGTTTAATCCCCACAAAGGAGGATTACACAGAAAAAAAAAATACCCAGCGTAGATTTTTATATATTCTAAGCTTTGGTGTCGATTTTACGTTTTAGATTTTTTCGTGTCTGTATGGCAGTTAGTTACTTACGGCAGCGACGCTTAACTACGTCCTAAGAAACACGATTTTAAATGACCAAACTTAACCAATAATTTAACTCCATAAAAACTGGTATCATTGTTCTGCGGCTATAAATTTTAACTTTCCACATTAAATCCTTTTCAATTCTGGTGCGTCTCCGGCGTTTTTTTTTCTCCCGTCGCCGTTCAACGTTTTTCTCGTCGTGAATGTGAATGCTCACACATGGATGACTTTCAGCCGAAAGAAGAACCCGGGGAGGATGCGCTGCACCAGCAACTTTACGTTTTTTATTTTATTTTTCAAAGCTTTTCTTTACTAGCCGAGCGTGGCAAAGTCCGAAAATGGGCGGAAAAAGTTTTATCGTATGAGAATATTTAAATTAAGCTGATTTACGTAAAATTTTACAAGTTGCACGTGCAATACCACACTGAATAATTGTCTGAAAGGGTGAAATCTAAACTTTTCCAAAAACTAACCGGCGCGTTTTGTTTGTAGCTTAGTCTAAAATTCCTCGTGTTGTTTAATTTCGGTAGGTGCGCAGGTATTAGCCTGATCAAAGCAGTTTCCTGAACAAAAGACGGATTTCTTATTATTTATTTTAAGCTATTGTCCCCGTGCCGGTCGGCGTTCGGGGTCTTGTCCCATGTGGGTGCCGATGCGCTCGTCTTTTGCTTCATCTTCAAGCACAAAATATCTACTACCTGAGGTTTAAATACGCCACACACACACACACACTTAGCTCATATTTATCTCAAAAACTCTCAAACAAATCAAGACCCGCGCGCAAACGGTTATTATTTATTTTTCGTTGCACGTACTTCATTTTTCATGCATTTTGTTATTTTCGAGCGAAGATGACTGATGGCCTAAGACCGATAGCGCAGATACCAAAATTATGCATTTCTTTTGGGGATTGTAATAAAATTTCAGCCGGGACACACGAAAAACTAGAAAAACGATTCATCAATTATATCGGAAGCCATTGGCAAACACAGCTGCGATTCGTCGTTCACGTGTGTGCTCATTCATTATGAATCGATATAATTTACCTACATGAATATACAGTATGTTCAAAAATAAATAAAAATAATTTTTATTAAAATAAGATTAAAATCCATCGAAATGATAATTTATTACTGAATTTTGAATGAAATTTAATTCGGTAACATGCAGTTGGTGATTATTAGACGGAGGGTTGATTTGCTTCGGCATTATCGATCCGAAATAGATTCATTTGTGTATCGGCCGCGCCGTATATTGTTACACCCTGCGCCCCCGAGGCTACGATTCCATCAGGAGGGTTGTCGAGGCGCTCGCGCTTTGTTAACGAACACACACACACACATACTCACACATTGTGTGTTGTGTCGCGTCGTGTTATGATTCCCATTAACGCGTCCCGAGCCCCGCCACACCACCCCGCATTATGTCTTTTTGTGGAAAAGAAAAAAGCACGCTTTCGATGCAAAAATGCGCCCTGAATCTCACGCGTCCTAACTACGCATTGTGATCGCAAATGATTAATGGGTTAGAAGCGATATTCCCGAATTAATATTAAAAGTATTTCGTTCTTTTTATGTTCTCAGGGGGGTAGAGACCCTTCTCCGATGTGTGGATATAAAACTCGCCCGGTTTTAATGCAATCGGAGCGTGCGATGCGCGTTTTTCGATCGAAAATCTATAATCGTTGATATATGTGCGCTTTTTTTTGGATTTAGATTGGAACACAAGGGACAACTGTTAAAAAAAGGGTGACCATATTTTAAATGTGTGCAGCGTGCAGAAATTTGCTTGCCAAGCGTAAAAATGTAACTCAATATTCCGGGCATATTTAATTACCGAAAATATTAAAATTCAGTAGCAAAAGTTGTTCAAGTTCTTAACTAAGAACCAGACGCGTTTTTTCCGGCGCGCTGCATTGATTAAATCATTCGGTTAGTTAACCACACAGCGAAAGAGCTTCTTTTTCTCGTGTGGCGTATTATGATGAGCCGTGGGCGAAGCCTTCACTCGCGCATGAGGAACGTACAAGGAAAATATATTAAGACTTATTGATTGATTAACGCAGGCGGGCGCAAGGAACCCCTTCGCGCGCGCACAACAAACACACTCACACACTCACTCATCGAGGAGAGAAAAAAACCAACAACGGCCAAACAACTCGCTTTGATACACATCGAACGGAAAAATGAAGCGAGGGTGCATAATGTATTAGACAAATAAATTGGAACGGCATAAATCATAGCAAATGGTGATTTAAATTTTCGATCGTTTAAAAACGCGACACGACAAAATGGCCGCCGTTGAAGCAATTTGAAAGCGAGGCAAGTTGTGTGTGCAGGCGCGCTGATAAGTTGCGAGTCGCGCTCGCGGAACGACAATAATACATTCACTCGGAGGGTAGTCGCTGCAGTAAGCCCTTATTCGTTTATATCTAAAGTGCGCGTTGTTTATCTAGCTTCGCAGTGCCGAGACTCTACGGCCACGAGTCCGCCCACCCCTAGCTATTTCTTTAAATCGCTTTAAATTGTCTCTAAAATAAATCGAATCGCGCGACCCGGGGTTGCGCACGTCAATGGCAGGACCATTTTTATTAGCATCGCGCGCGAGAACGAAATACGAATACAATTTTTTGATATTAGTTTTTCGGGGCAAAGCCTAAGCAATAAACTATCCGGTTGTGTGCTTGGGAATGTCATTCCGCATAACTCAGCGTCGTTATCGCTCTTTTAACGTCCTAACGATACCATTTACTAAATTCACCCCGAAGATGAGCACATTCCATGTGAGAACTAATTCTATTTACTTTCGGATATAAAATTAATCAAGGGATGATCGTGTATGTGTTAAATACTGGTGGGGGTTGTGTGGCGAGTTAGAGCGCAAGTCGTATCCGGCGTTGCCGCCCCCACTGCACACCTAAAACGCGTCCGCCAATTAGCGCCGAATGCAGAGACAACTAATCGAGATAGCGTCGGATTCGTCCGGTCGGCGGCACGCCGCCCCCGTCACACCCTTTTCGGATAATTACGCGTTTCCTTCCAGCTCGACGCTCATTGGACGGCCAGCGCCGCCGCCGCCGCAAATTTCTTATTTATTAAACCTGCAGCTATGCCAAGATCACGTAGCCTGTGTGCTCTGAACGTGCCAAAAAAATTCTAAATAATTAATAAAAGGCTACGCGAAGAGCAGGTCTGTAGCCGTGCACGAAACAACAGGGTGCGTGGCGCGTTTAATTAAATTAATTTTTCAAGTTATGATCGATGACTCGGCGAAATTCGTGTATTTTTTTTCTTCGGTCTCTTGTTCTGCGTTCGTTTTTTTGATGAGTCAGCCGTGCTCAAGCTGTAATTATTGCCATCACTTTCTTATATTCAGCATCACAACTTGAATATTCGTCTGCTACCGTTTGCGAGCGAGAAAAAAGCGCAGCAAGCGCCAAAAATAAAACGACTCCTCGGAGATAGAATCGAAAAATTCGTGATGCACGCCATGATGATGATGTGAGATGTGCACGAAAATCGAAATCTAGATGCTGCGCGCGATGTGCGCGCATTCACAATCAGGGATCGAAGACAAAGATTTAGATTCGTCGACGGGCGAGAGACGTCTATCTTGATGTAGAAGGTTGTCAGTCATCAATAACGCGCCAGCGCCGGGCGAAATATCGTCTCTGAATGCAAAAATATACAATTCGAAGCGGGAGGCAAAAGCAGCCGGAGGGCGAACACCCATTGGAAATTGCAAATTTTTTTCCCGTTGGCGTGATCCGCATTTCAATGGCTCGTAAATTCGCGTCGCGACCGTTGCAGGAATGAAAAATATCCTTGATTTGACGTCCTGTTTTTATTCCCGAAGCGTTCGCTCTCTCATTTATTTGCATTTTCCGAAATAAAATTTGCCAAAAATCTAAACGCTAACCAACACAAACAAAAAAACAATAATCAAGTGTCGTTGCTGGGCGTAGACAGCGACAACTGCACATTCCTGTTTCTATAGCTACCGGAATACGCGGACTTCATTGGCCGAGCATGACTCGCCTGCGATTATCAGCCTCGGTGTACTCGTTTTTTGTTTTATTTCTTGGCTTTCACAGAGAGACGCGACTCGCGTTGTGTATTGGCATGTTTTTCTCTCCTATTCTTGCCGAGTTCGGAATGCAACCGAAATGGCCGGCGTATATACACTGTCATAAAGCCGTGTTTCATGGAGGTAAACTCCGCACATCCCATAAAGCTTTAAACTAACAGATTTCGACGCGTTTCTAATCTGCTACCTCGGGGGGGGTCGGATCCGGCGGCCAGGTGTGTGTCGCGTCGAAACAGCAAACATACACAACGAGGCAAAAAGGACACCGTCTTTGCCACTTATTATTTTACCTGCGCGCAAGGCGATCACTTATCATTACCGACACTCTCTGCCAAAATATACAAAAACAGCTGCAAGCTCAATATATATGAATAGGCAACGGAATGACGAAAATAACAGGCACAAAGTTTTACAGCCGCGTTATAGGGAATTTTACAGTGTAAATAAACATCGGTCAAAATTTACCTAGGGCTCAACAACGAAGACAAAATTTCACGTTTGAGCACTGAACTGAAATTTATGAATTCGCCGCGCGTACAATGAAGAATTAGTTCATTTACGGTTGGAAATAAAGTTTTATCTTTTCTTCTCCGCGCTCCCGACCGTGCGCGCGCCATATATTATTGACTGCCGCACGTCCGGGACTGCCGCATTACGAATTCATATGAGAAGCACAAGGGGGACGTGAAATATTAATCCATATTTCTCATTTTTCCGTGGAAAATGCCTTTTTCCTGTTTCGTTGTGAGCGTGTTTTCTCTATTCGTAGCAAAAATGATAGAATAATGAAAGTTGAGACTCACCATTTGCGCCAAACATTGGATGATGCATGAACTGATTCTGGCCCCCGAAGTTGCCGCTGTTGCCCAACGCGTACAGTTGTTGGAAAAGCGCCTCTTGATTGTTTTCATCGCTGTTTTCTCCCTTGACGGCGGCGGCAGCCATTTGCATGCCAGCCATTTGAAGCAGTTGTAGGTGGGTGTTGTTATTGAGAGTCTGCTGGCCTCCGGCTGGATGAGTGGTGGAGTCTGCTGACACTGATGCGCCTGGAATTGGCGGCACCTGGAATTCTCCGCTTTCGGAATTGGCGTTGTCTTTGCTAGCGTTTTCAAGATGCGTGCGCACGTTATTGATGTGATTCTTGGTAAAGATGTGGTCTTGGATGGAATACTTATGCGAGTATTTAAACCCACAGAATTTGCAATCATCTGGTAGGGTTGGCGTGGTTGTTTCTGTGCTTTCAGTACCAAGCACTTTCTGTAGGGCAATTTTTCCCTTCTTTTCCTTGGCACGCGCATTTTGGAACCACACCTGCACCACACGCTTAGGAAGTCCTATTTCTCTGGACAACATCTCACACTCAGCCATCGTGGGTGTTTTGTAGTCGGTGAATAAAATCTTCATTACTTTAACTTGCACGGCAGTCATCTGTGTTCGATAACGCTTGTTTGCATTGGAATTCGAGTTTGGTGTACTGGTGGTATTCCCTGCTCTGGCTGGAGTGTTGATGCTCTGAGTACTCGACGCCGGAGAAGTCGGGTTGCTCTCATCGTACATAAAATCCGCCGTTTCTGACATTGAATCCGACATGCGCTCATCACACAAAGACCTTTCGCTCAAATCAGTCAACGGACCTGGATCACACAAATTACGCTCATGATCCATGTTGACCTTCATTGGATGTGACAAATCTACCGGTTTAGATAAATCTAAAGGGATCTCACCACCTTCCTCTTTTTCCTCACCTTTGATCTCACTTTTATCTCCATTGGACGCGTGCGCCTGCAGTTCACTAATGTAACGCTTCATGCTCTCTTCGTAGTACTTCTTGATGGAGTTCTCCATGTCCGGATGCAAGTTGGGAAATAATGGTGGCATCATATTGGCTGCCAAGCCGCCAAACTTGTTATCACCACCGGAACTCAAACTGGGCGAAGATTCGAGACTGGCTTCTTCATCGGGTAGGGCATCAATGTTGATCTCACCTCGTGCACATTGGTCTGCATGTTTGGTGGTAAGATGTGATTCGAGTGCAGACTTGACTTTGAACAGAGCTGGACAGAATGGGCAACGTTTATTGATCACTTGCGCATGGGCTCGAAACTGACCTTTGCGTTCACGCGCCCGAGTGTTCTGAAACCACACCTGGACAACACGTTTCTTCAAACCAACTTCACGCGCAATATTTTCCAACATTTTGCGTGATGGATTACTCTCGATCTGGTACTTCTGGTATAAGTAGTCTAACTGTTCGGGTAAAATAGTCGTCCGCAAGCGTTTGTCTTTCGGCTGGTCTGATACATCACTCTCACCGTCGTACTCTTCAAGTTTACGCTTCTGCGCGGTCACGTTATTCAACATGTTGATGAGCGGAAGCGGAATCGGTGAAGCTGACTTATCACTGAGTGTCGATAAATCGGTAACACCTACACCCTGCTGCAACTGTTGCAGTTGCGCATGCTGTTGTAAAATACCAAACGGAGAATCCGGTGGGTACGCTGGGAATAAACTCGGATTCATGATGTGGACCAGCTGATGTTCACGCCAGAGGTCAAAACGTTGGAAAACTAGATTGCACTTGTCACATTGGAAGGTCCCGTCTTTGTTGGAATCCACTGGGGAGGCGGCCGGGGACGGCGGTCGCGTATTCTGACCACTCGGAGTGGGCGTCGTAGATTGAATCGGTTGCACTGGGCTTTGCGATGGCCCCTGAGGTTGAGCACCAGGTGTTTGTGGCTGTGGTTGCGTATTGTTTTGTTCAATTGTCGTACTTGAATTAGAATCTTCCGAACTGAGCACTGCAGCAATCTGTGCAGCTGCAGCCTGGGCTTGCGCTGATCTCTTAGCATCTTCCTCTTTAAAACAATGAGTCTTCTGATGTCTAATAAGCTCGTAATACCGTTGGAATACCAAGAGACACTTCTTGCATTGGTAGTTAAGACCAGGAGTGCGTTGGAAACGATTGGCACCAGCTTCACCTCCAGCTGCAGCCGGTGATGTTTGCTCAGCAGGTCCAGGGCTTGGTTCAGCAGCCGGTTGGTTTTCATACACTTTGCGTGCTTTCTGACGCGCATTCTGGAACCATACCACAATCACACGCGGACTAAGACTCAATAATTTCGATAAATATTCGAGGTCATCATCTTTTGGATACGCATTGTTTTCGAAAAATTCTTGAAGGACTTTAATCTGATAGTCTGTGAATCGGGTACGATTAGCGCGTTTACCACTACTGCCAGTGGAACTATTACTGTTGGAATTCATACTGGCGAAATCGCGATTCGGACTGAGACATCTATTCGGAGTGAGTGGTAACATTCCCTGTAGAGACGCGTTAGGTGTCTGGTAGTTCTGTTGATTCAACTTTGGTGGAGGCAACATCGGGGAGGCAGCCATATTCATCTGGGACGGCGTGCTCGTTGTAATAATACTATCACCCAACTGCGAAGCAATGATCGAAGTCAACGTCAGATTATTCGGTGTGGATGGTGCTGATGTGGTATGTTGGTTGTTATCAGTACTACTCATCGAAGACGCCGGGCTCTGAGGCGGTTGAAGGTGAGGCGGCAGATTGAAAATGTTTGGCTTCTCATCGGATTCAAGCTGCTTTTCGATGTGTGACTCGTCGACAGGTTCTTCTTTCAACTCTGTCTTAATTTCAGCCGCTTGAAAGGGCGGCGGAGGTGATTCTTTACTTTTGATTTCCTCGGCGCTACTGCCGGAACTATTCAGTGGCATTACCTTCGCCTCACCTGTCTTTTCATACTCTTCCAGATTGAGCGTCGTCGATGGTGGGTTATTGAAATTGTACGGACTGTCTTTGTTACGCTGTCGTTCTTTAAACAACGTGTTTCTGAACCAATGTTTGATAACTTTCGGTGGCAGGCCGGATTGTGATGCCATCTCGTGAATCTGCTCCTCGGAGGGTGAGTTATTGATGTCGAAGTGCGCGCGTAGAATTTTCAGCTGGTCATCGGTGATGCGCGTGCGGGCGCGTTTCTGGTTTGCGGCCGCGCTAACAGCCTAGAGAAGAGAAAAGAAAAACACGAGCGTTATTCAAATGCGATCCGTAGTACGCGTCGGCTGCACTTCTGGGCTAAATCGCGAGTAAAACACAACAGTAACACACTCCAAAAAAGTAGACTGCGCATACACGCAAAGGTATATGCATGTTGCAGCATAAGACACAGCGAAGGGCGAAACTGTTAATAAATTACGATAATTATCACAATGCGGCTGCGCGGCCCGCGCAACAAATAGCAATTAAAATAATCAAGCGCGGCGGATCGAAACGCGAAGCCGACACAAAACACGCCACGCCGATGCGTAATTACCACGTTGGGGTCTCGGCCGCTTTTAATTCCACACATTACTTAAGGGGTTACATTCATTTTAATTACTAATCAAAATCCTTCATCCCACAAGCCGTGATTATTACTTCAAATCAACTCTGTTTAATTTTTTATTGTTATCGTAATATATCCCCTTAAGTAATGTCGGCGAAGAACGGTTATGATGTGATCTCGAACCGATGTTTATTGTTTTACAGTTTGTTCCACGCAAAATCTAAAATTCCGATCAAGAATCAATTCCAAGCCTTCTCCCGCGCTTTGATCCGAAAAGTTGCATACATTGAACGTATAAATATTACATCGCGTTTCATAAGGCGTGTCCGGCCTGACACATTAACCAGTTAATGCGAGCGACCACGGAACGTATACATAAAATCAATTACGCGGCCACAAACGAGTTTACACGAAGCGCGCGACAGGATTTACATAGGCAAAAAAAGTGTCGTCGCCCGATGCCGGTTACAAATTGCCCGGCGAGCGATGATGGCGCGAGATAAATTTGCCATATTTGTTATTAATGACACCTGGGTGCGATGACGAATTGTCGGCGCTGATTGAAAGATTCGCACGAATCGCTCGCGCAGCGCGCACACACGCGACCTTGTGGAGTTTATTCACACATCGATATGTATTGCTATTTGCGCGCGGCGCGATGCGGAGAAAGAATAATGATTGAAAAGTGTACTCACTGCTTGCTGCTGCATCATTGCCGCCTGTTGCTGCTTGGCCATCATGGCCTGCTGTTCCTGCGGCGCAAACTGCTGCATGGCGTCGAACGGCGGCGGCGGCATCATCAACGGCACGAGCGGCGGCTGAAGATTCATCGCGGCGAGCGCGTTGAGACCTAACGGCAGACCCATGCCCATCATCTGCATCATCGGGTTGAAGTTGAGCTGCTGTTGCAGCTGCATGACATTGAGCGCCGCCTGCATCTCGCTGACCTGCTGCGCGAATGCCATCGGATTCTGGGCCATCGATTGTGCGATCATCGCTTGTATATTCGCCGGCAGCGAGTCGGTGCTGCTTGCCGGCGTCGTCGAGGACGACGTCGGCGTTGAGGGCGCTGTCGAGTGCGCCTCGGGCGGCGTGTGCAGGTTCAACTTGGCGTGTAGCGCCTCTTTCGACTCGTCGTCTTTCTCCGGCTGGTCGCCGCCGCCATTGCCGCCGTCCGGGTTGTTGCAATTCAGCGCAGTCGTCGACGACGTCGCCGCTGTCACCACCACCGTTTTCTTTTCGTATTCGTTCTTGAACTGTTGAGCATACTTTTCTAAGAATTCTAGCGGCACTAAATCTTTATGTACTTCCTCACAGTGAGACTTTAACACCCACACACTAGAGAACTCTTTATTGCAATGTTGGCACGTGGATTTACTTACTTCGGGTAAGTTGTTTTCAATGTCGTCCTCCGTTGGCCGCGAAGTGGCTTCGTGATCATCGGCGGTCGTTGCGGCGGTTGAGGCGGCGGCTGGCGGCGACGCCGTCGTCGTCGCCCGCTTGCTCTCGTCGGCCGCCGCATTCTGCTGCTGCTGCAGTTGGCGTCGGCGGTGCTGGCTCTCGTTGTAATGCATCACTACGTCGAAGCCGTAGCTCTCAAGCAAATGTTTCTGCATTTGCGAGTTGATTCTCTTTGGTAAACTCAGTCGGTTGGCGGCGTCGTTCGGCTGCGGCTGCTCGCCGGCGGCACTCGCTGGCGGCGGGCTTTTCGCCGTGCCGGGCTCTTGTGCTTGGAAGATGGCCATGTTCGGCGCGGCGAACATGCAGTACAGCTGCTGGTGAACACTCAACTGATCTGCCGAGCTGAAGAGCGCGCCGCACTTGGGGCACGCCGGCATCATCCCCTGGCTACCTGCGCTACCTGCCGAGGGCACGGGCGACGCGGCCGGCGGGGTGGGGGATGTCTTCTCCCCTCCGCCAGGCGTCGGGCTGGCATGCTTCGGAGACTGCACGGCAGCCGCATCGGGTTGTTCAATGAGTGGCTTTGAAAGGTCAATCTGGCCGGCCATGGCGAGGTCTTGCAACTTGGAGGCGCGCGTCTGGTGGAGCACCGAACGCATGTGAATGTCTAGCGTCGACCCCTGTGTGTACGCCACTTTGCAAATATTGCATCGATAACGCTTTTTGTCGTCATCTTCATTACTCGACGTACTTTTCGGCGTACCTGGTGCTTGTCCAGCAGACTGCCCGCCAGTGACGGGCGACACCGGTGGATTATTATTGTTGTTGTTCTGCTGCTGCTCTTGCATGGCGCGCTTGAGCTTGTGCAGATGACTCACCGAGTTGTAGTGCACCAGGAGAATATTCTTCTGCGTGAAGCTCTCTTTGCACACGTCGCACTTGTACGGCCGATTGGGGTCGAGGTATTTCTCCATGGGGTAGCTAAGTTTCTCGCCCTTGCGGTGCAAAAGGGTTTTGTTGTGGGCGGTGAGGTAGTTTTGCCGCGTGAACGCCACCTTACAGCGGTGGCACTTGTACTTTCTATTCGGGTCATTGTAGCTGTCCTCGGCGATCGCCTGACTATTCAGGTAATCTTCTAGGAATTGCTGATCTTTGTAAATGATACTATCGTTTGAGTTTTCGCCATCGTTGGCGTTACTATCGTCATGGCTGGTGGACAACTCTTTGCTATCGTCGCCGTCAGCAACAGACTCAACGTCGTCGGAACGCAGCGACTCTTTCTTCAAAATGTCATTGGTGGAGCTATCCAACACTTGACCTTGAAGCCCGGCGAGTAATAGCGGGTTGTTCATGAGACTCTGTTTGTACGCATTGAGCTCGTCGTCGGTGAGCTCCGAGTGCACGCTTTCAACGTGCTTGTGCAGCGCGACCAGCGACCGAAAGCTGCGGCCGCACAGCACGCACTTGGTCGCGTCGCGAATTAGATGATACTGCGAATGGAGCTGCAGTTTTTCTAGAGTTTTGAACGCTAAGGAGCATTGATTGCATCTGTATTTGTACACGTGCTTTTCGGAGACGCTCATCTGCGTCACCGAGTTCTTGGCGTGCACGTCCTTGAAGTGCATCTGGAGTGTTTGTGCTGTGGGAAAGAATTGCTTGCAACCCTTCTTCCAGCATGCATACCCGGGTCCACTAGGAGTCTGTTTAATCTCCAGGTGACCGGTCTCGTTCTGATGGTAGCACAACTCATCGATGTTTTTGAAACTCTTCAAGCACGTAGCGCACCGCTCGAATTCAGCGACATCGCTGGCATCGTCGCTGTGCGTCGGCGACATGAGATCATTCTCCAGGTCGACGGCATGATTAGGCGTGGACGCCTTCTCTAGCGTGTGCTTGCTGTCCTTGGAAGACACAGACGTCGGCGACGTCAGCTGGCCGGGATTGAGATGATTCGGCGACCGGTTGAGCCAGTGGCTCTGATCGACGAGCATCAGCAGCCGCTGCAGACCCTCGCTGTTAACTGAGTGAATCTGCATGACGTGCCGCTCGAGGCTGGAGCGATCTTTGAACGCGTCCTGACACAGGGGGCATTGAAAGCTCGGCTCCGAGGAACTGTGATTCGTACCGTGCTGGGCGAGCACGTGCGCCTGAATGCGCATTTCTGAGTCGCTCGCGTAATCGCAATACGGGCACACATGGTGCGCGCCGCCACTCGCCGCATCGCCGCCGCCGCCAACGACCATATCGTCGTCGCACGGCTCCGACTTGAACTCCTTGCCGCCGAGCTGATGATTCTCGGCCTGATTCGACTGCTCCGAATTGACGCTGTCTCTTCGCTCTGCGTCGAAAGGGAAGAAAAGCAAATGTTACCAAGGGGCGCGCACAAAAACAAGTCCGAGCTTCGTAGACAATACACCGACGGAGACAATGTAGGTAAAACCGGGTCCCACTTTTATATTACCCTACGGTTTTAATTTCGTGCAGCAACTGGGCTAATCCCCTAATTTAAGTCCGCGCCGAGAAATTCCCAGACATTTCGAAACACTCTAATTGCATGGCCATCAGGTATAAAGAGACGGGTCTTCAAGAAGACCCTAATTTGCAAAAAAATTACAATCGTCAATTAATATAAGGGTACGAGGCAAACGTTCAAATGAATGTTGTAAAATTTACCCAACTACCAATAAAAATAAAATTCGGACTGAAAACCCAGCCGAGCGCTTATTGTTTCCTAGATACCTCGAGGGAGAAAGTTACAAAACCGAAAAACGAACGGTATCATTGTATTAACAATCGTGTTGGAGTATCCATTGTGTTATCAAGCTCTCGGCTAAACGAGAACAGAAATTACACACGACGTAAACGAGAAATTTTGATAGAAAAATCCCCGAAACACGCATCGGAAGCATCGCCGTCGCGCATATGGCGCATATGCCATGACCAGAAGGTGTTGAGCTCGAAACACACGAGCAGCAAGCTTTGTTACTTATGATTCGTATGAAGCTTCACGTTAATTTAAATACTGGCCCATTGTGTGCCTCGTCCCTTTTCATGCCTTCATTATTTACTGTTATTACGCGCACCGCGCAATAAAAGGCAGGTAGGTATTTGCATTGTAAAATTAGGAAAGCGATCCGATAATTTATCACGTCGCGCACGCCATAAAAGCGTTTAATGGAATTTTGTGTGAGTTTTTAATCCTAAACCGTTAACCGCAAATAAGCAGGTAACAAACAACCCTGTAAACATTGTTGCCAACTTGCTGAATCATCATTAAAAATAATTTTCCTCACTTTTATTTTATTTTCGAATGTCTGAGAAATTTCTAGGCTAAATTAGGTTAAGTAGAAGTACACTAAGTGACTCACCCGAAATGGATTGTTCGACGGGTCCAGGTACGACGTGAAACACTTCGCCAATCTCGGGGGCGGTTTCCTTGCCTTCGGCGCGCCGCTGCAGCTGGTGCAATTGCTCGAGATGCAAGTGCTTGAGAGATCGGACATGCTGCAGCAGTGGCAGGCGGTTGGTCGCTGAGAATGAGCACAGCGAGCAGTGGAACACGCGTGGTTGTTCCGGTCGTAGCGTGGCGCACCGATCGACCACGTGGCGTAGCAGTGCAACGCCAGCCTCATGCCGCCCGCCGGCGGCGTGCAGCTGTAACTTGTGCGCTGAGTTGGTGTAGTAGTCGCATGCATTGCAGCGTATCTGCACGCCGCCCGGCGCCGACGCGTACTTGAGCTTCCACTCGTTGCGTGGCCCGCCCTCCTTGACGTGGTTGACGTGCTGCAGCCGCTGGAGGTGCTTGTCAGTCTTGCAGTGCAGCTGGAAGTTGGCCTTGAGGTTTGTCTTGTATGTGCACAGTTTGCACACGTAGTGGCCGGCGACGACGGCGAGGATCTCCTGCTCGCGCAGCCGCGTGCGGTCCTGAGCGAGATGGCGCCCGAGATCCTCGAGGCTGTCGGTGGCGAAGCAGTTACACACACAGCAGTGGTAGGTGCGTTCGGGGTCTGGGTCCGCTGGCTCCGGGGGCGGTTCCATTGTCTCCGGATTGAGACCCATGTCGGCATGCTGGGTCATGTCAGCACCAGGCGCTCCATGGCCGGGTATCTGCCCACCAGTCATCATTTGAATGAGCAGTGCCTGATTGTAAGCCATATCAGCCAGGGCCGCTTCCGGTTTGTCACCCAATCCAGGGTACATCCCATAGAGACCCTCTAGATGTGGTTGCGCAGCGGGGTGCTGTTGTTGTTGGTGGTGCTGTAGGGCTGATAACGTCTGCATGTGTTTGACGTTCTGTTGCAGGACGAGCATGTTGTGCGTGTGCTTCTCGGAGGTCATGTGGATACGCAGGTTGCGCGCCACGTTGGTCTCGTAATTGCAAACGTCGCAGCGAAAACTCGGCTTGGGTTTGTGCCCTCCGCCACCTCCGCCACTACTCACCGGAGTGTGATGCAGTGGTGGTGCTTTCGGTGATGCTTGCCGTACTTCGACGTTGGGCGCACCGCCATTTTGCAGCTCCTGCATGTTATTGAGATGCTTGTCAGACTGCATGTGGATGCTGAGGTTTCCTTTGGTTGTGGTCGAGTAGTTGCACACTTCGCAGCGATAGGGTTTATATCCGCACGTGTATGTCTCGCCACGTGCGAGCCGCGGATGTGGCTGCCCGGCAATGCAGTAGATACAGCTGGTCTCCGCCTCGGGATGCTTCTCCTTCATGTGTATCTCCAGCGTCTCCTGGTACTTGTAGTGCCAGTTGCACTTGGGGCACTTGAGCGTCTTGCAGGAGTTGCGGCTGTGCACATTACCAAGCCCGGCTGGACCCAGTCGACCCGAAGCGAGGATCATCTCGCAGCGAGCGCAATCGGCACCCGAGGGCCGTCCCTGCAGATGCTCAGGACAGACACCAATCGTGGTGCCGGTGAGGAACTGTGGCGGCTGTGCAAACGGCGGCGAAGGCGACTTGCCGGGCGTATTGCGTGCCGATGAGGTGCTCGTCGGAGGTGTCTCTGACTGCGGCAAACTGGGCGGGTTCATCGATACCGGCACCGAAGCGTTGACGCCGGTTATCTCGGAAGCCGCTAACAATGGAGGCGTCGGTGCACCCAAAGGTTCCAATAAGGAAACCATTGGTCGTTTATCAGCACCAACACACTGCAGAATCGCTGAGCAGTCGGCGGCGAGCACCTCGCGTTCACTATCCTTCAGCGCGACGCCGTGTTCAGACTGCGCATGGTTAGCAAAAGAACGCGCGAACCCAAAACTCAGCTTGCACACGAAACACATCAGAATAGGTTTGACTGGCACGGACTGCGGCCGTGGTGGTCGCGCGTCCCTCAACGCAATCACGCGATAACTGTGTACTGCTGGTTGTTCGGCGGCGGTGGTAGTGCGCGCTTGTCGCAGGAGTCGCGACACGTACACAGCTTGCAGAGGTGGTACCACTTCGGTTTGCGGTGCTTGCTCGCTTTCGCTCTCCGAGTCTTCGATGATGTACGCCGAACCGTCGGGGTTGTAGACGATCTTACCGGCAAACTGCTCCACGTCGGACGTGTCCTGCAGCGAGGACATCGCCGGTGATGTGGGGAGGTGCGTAGCGGGCGGCGGCGGTGGCGACGCGCCGGGCGCCGCCGGAGGCGGACTCGCCTCCTGCTCGGGGCTCATCGTACGCTGCTGTGCGCCGGTGAGCTGGGGTGCTGGTTGTTGCCGCTCGCTGCGGCCGCCGGAACTGAGCTCAGGCGCCGCGGACAGGGTGGGCATCGCGGCGCATCACATGCTCGCCGTGTAGACGCCCTGCAATCAACAAAACAAACAACCATTAACATTGATTCAGCTGCACGCCGATAAAGAAATGCAGTTCTATGAATATTTCTAAATAGGTACATCCCATGTTTCAAGACATGAATAAGGTAATTCATCGTATTGACTAAATGCTTCTTTCATTATCACTAACCGACAAATTAAAAATAAACATTTCCCACCGTTCAATTAAACGCATATCTACACCTATGCTGATAATACCAATCAACATATTGACATACTTTATCTTCATCCGAAGAAATCGTTAAAGTCGTTAAAGCCGTAAACAGAAAATTATAAAATCAACACACTAAATAAACACGAATCATCAAGGAAATCAAACTATCTGCAGGCGCAATCAATAAGTTCTCACACAATCGAGATGACTAAGGCAGCATTCTAGTTATAATGTAAATAATTAATTTAAGTGATAACAATGCGACATTGTGTACGCTTGTCGCCTCGCAGCGATAAGGAGAGACTTCAACGTAGCATCCAGCAACGAACGATTATCCGCGCTGGAAATTCTCGATTTTTAGCCTAAACATCGTGATTCATACCTGCGGGCGACCGAAATGCCAAAATCTGATAGAGCATACAAGAAGAGTACTGCGTCGATGCACGCACGGCTAATAATAGACGTGCGCGCATTGTAATTTAATAAATTAATACGCGAGCTTTGCGCGCCGCGCGCTCGGTTCCAATATTGTACCAACGAAAATGATCGTTGAATATTCCAACACCAGCGATCGTTTTTGATTGCACCGCCTCGAGATATCAATTATATAGATCGTTATTCAACTTATTCACAACTAAAAACGGAATATTTAATGCTCCCATTTGCTCTCGCTCGGCGCTCACACAAATTCCTTTGTGTTCACGGCGACGGAATAAACTCGTATTTTCAATTAATTTAATTTTCAACATTCACACACACACACAACACTAGCAAGTTATGTTTAAAAACAAGTTTCGCCTTTTGTTTTCCGTGCGAAAATATCGTTGCCGACGAAGAAAAACGAGTTTTGACGTCTAGTTCGATCCGGGGTGAGTTATAATTATTCCCGACCCGCTCTCGGAACCTTCACATATTGATCAATTTGCTTATTAATATAATTATTCGTCGACGAGCCCTTGAAGACGCGGATAATTATCCGCATACAATGTGTCTGCAGGATGATCAGATTTCTGTTCGGAAACGCAGCGAAGAACAAATAAAAAATCAATCGTGAGAAATCATGCCCGGCCGAAGAGGAAAAAAGCGCCGAACCAGCGCCCGGCCAAATTGAACAAAAAGCCCATAATTATTGGCCGTGATTAGAGCAGTGTGGGAATTAGTAATTACGCGCGTACCATGCTTGACCAGGAACGTTTATCGCGCGCGCACTCCGAAGACGGAGAGCCGCGAGAGGATACGTCGGCGCCTGCTTCGACCCTACCCTCACTTATAATCGAAATTACACATAATTATAAAATTTTTCCGAAACGAAAATGTTACAAATTGGTACTTCGCCTTCGCGCAACGCACGAGAGCGCCGCGCCGAGAAGAAAAATCATCATCATGCACACTCACACACACATACCCGCACGTAATCATCATCGAAGAAACACAACCAACGACTGTGGACGCAACAAGACATTGTTATAATGTTGTAAATTTATTCAGGTCTTCGCGTACAATGTTTGGACGAAAAAGTTGATGAAAATATTTTTAGGGGTTGAAGGTGCAGGGTTGATGTTGACTTCAACCCCTATGAATGTCTAGCACTAGCTATGCAGCAAGGTGTATTGTATATTTTTGCATAAAACGGACTTCAATAAAAAGATATGAGGAAAGCAAACGCAGGGTGTAATCTAATAAAACAGCGAGGGAGGAAAACGTAAAGCTTTGTTGTACCTGTAATACCACCCCATATGCAGGTAATATGCTGTGCATCGCGACTTCATTTTAAAACTTCCGCAAAATTCAAATATGCACCATGTTAGACAAAAAATTCAAAAATGAGTTTTGATTAAAAATATGAATGAGAGTAAATCGGGAGCCCTTTTAAAAGTTTTTGAATGAGGGTAGTAAAACTCGTACGTAACACTCGATGGCGGTCAAGGGCTCACGCTCACAACACCGTCGTCCGGTTAGGGGCCTGTCTGGTGGCCGGCGGACGAGGGGTGGCGTTGACCGAAGCGACCTAAAATAACAAACCAGGTGTGCGCGCGGCCGTTTGTTTCACATACACATTCACACATAAACCACCAGTGGAACAACATCGTTCAACCTGATTTCATTCAGTCTCTTCCGACCCAACCCAACACCCAGTGGTCAGTGAGTGTGTGCGCTGGCATTTTGACCATTACCCGCGCCACACAATTAATGCCCGAAAGAATGCTTTTGTGTGCGCGGGGCACTACCGGTCGTTAATTTTAATTTCTGATCGTCATACCCAATTCATTACGCATTATTCAAATATTTCAAAAGATTTCAATTAATGCCGTGCAGCTGCACGATTACGTTTGGTGATATTTAGTTTTATGCCGGCCATTTTGAACCAAATTGAACGTTTTTCGGTGTGTTTTGACTACATTCGCATGTTTGCGGTTGATGTTGTGGATGCAAAAAGCTCGCAGAGCGAATATATTTTTTATATACCTGCGGACCGGATCGAACACGCGTCTCAACCGCCGTAAAGCACACCTGCATATTGAAGACATCTCGCCTCCGAAACGTTTTTTAACCCACACACACACAGCGAGTTGTTCTTGTTCTGGTTTCATATCGACGTTGGACATCGGACAAATTGGTCCGGGCGTTAATTGAACGTGTGTCGCGAAATTCAAGTCCAGTTACCGTTTGTGGCGACAAATTTATTTCATAAATTTAAATTTTATGCAACACACATTGCACACCCGACCCGAGATTGGGCGTCATCATACGTTTGAGGTTATATTTTATTCAAGTGTCAATAAAAATCCAATATAATGGGCGCTGATGTTAAGAACGTGTGCTCCGAGGGATGTTGTAGGAGTAACGTACTCGCGTATGACGTATAAATAAAACCGAATCGATTTCTGATATGAAAAACGCATAAAAAGGCACTTCAACGTAGCGCACTATAAAGTTTCACCCTCGTCCTTGACATTCTACGCGCTGCCGAACGAAAGCGACAGCTCGGATAGCTCAATGAACATAACCTCGTTGTGCATAACCTCTATTCATCAAGAATGTCGTCTGCGCGTTAATTTTTATATTATTTTGGTCTGTGTTTCATTTATGGCGCAAACTTTTGACTGTTTGCGTGCGCCGGATTTTAATGACACTTTTGTTTGTGGAGTGCGAACGGCGGGTCTAATTAGAGTTCGTAAAAGAACGGCAATTATTCGTCTGGGTGTGGCGCTGTGTGCGCTATGCTCGATTCCGCGTACTCGTAATTGTCGTTTTTGTTGCCGCAAAGTTTTCCTCCTCCGCGCGAGCGCCGAATAGAAGAAGAAACAAAAAAAGCAAGCAGCGTGAATATGAACAAGCGCGCTTTTAATTCGTAGGATCGTTGTAGGTATTCGTACGAAACGTCGAAATGTAATTATGGTTCATTTACACACAGAAAACACACCAAACAGTCCAAACACCAAAGCGAGCGCACCGCCGAGACGAGGCTTTAAAATGAACAAATATCGTGCGCAATCAGATAAAACTCTTCAAGCAAAAACGCAGACACAGACTATACGCTAATTCCGGCATAATTCGACTTTTACAAGCGAATAAAAAAAAATTAATGATGAGAGACTTTTAGTAGGTGCCTAGCTAAGTACGAAAATTGTTTCTAATGCTGAAAATTGAATATTGCGGCGATTGTGGGTATTTTCCTGGTTGAACTTTGACATTGTCGAGTTTGGTTTTGCAATCGCGACGCAGTTTTAGCGCCATTTTAATGCAAAATCGCGCACAATAAGCGAGGTGCGATGCGCGCACACGATACACGAAGACGATGCGCGCTCGCGCCGAGCTTTCGAGATAAGGATCTTCGTATTTAGAAAAGAGTCGACGCGCGAAGCCCCGTGTCCGTTCACGCGAGCTGACAGCACGCCCGGCAAGCGAACGAACCGGGGGAAGCACACGAACTTCGCCTATCTTGATCGCCGCGTGATAAGCAAACAAGAACCGATTGTTATTGCCCGGCCGGGCGGAAGGCGTTCAACTAGCCAGCGCTAAACGATCACAAGTATCACCACAAAAAATATATTAGAAAAACATCAAAGAAATTTAAATTTAAACATTTTTCTACTGACTTATTATTATATTATACAATGGCGTACATGGATCGTAATTGCGATTCGTAATTAATCCGGCGCGCGAAACGCAAACAAGGCCGGCCCACAATTACCCACACAGCGTAAGTACGAATTGTATAAATACAATTAATTTGTCGTCCTTGGGCGTGAAATTAAAGCCGATTCCTGTTGCGGAGCTAAACCAAAGCCGCGTTTGTTTCAGCCGGCACAACGCTGTGGTAATAATCGCAGCTCGATGGTTTTTTTCGTTTTAGTTTTTTGAGCTCTTCGCGCCGGCAGCTCGTCCGGTTCATTGCTCATAGTCGCTCGTCGTTACTCATCGCCGCGGCTATAATTTTTGATTATCGTACGAGCCGGTACAAGTCGAACGACGCAAAAAAAGACACATTTAATACGACTAATGACAATATGGAATGATTACCGATGTAATTACAAGCGAGCACGCGACGCACGGCGCGAGAAAGTAAAGCAAAAGAAACTGTTAAGCAGAAATGCCAACCGAGTAAAAGTACTCATCACGCAAACCCCACGACTTGAAATTTGTCCGATTCTATATTTAAGCTTATAAAGTTTTTAAATGCATACTAAAACGCATCGAGATTCAAATAAAGATTGTTACCGATTTGTACAAAATAATTTCGAACACCTCTGAAAGGTAACCGGCAACCCCGCGATAACATCCGACAAAATTTGTGGTCATATAGCGTGTGTGAGCCGTGTGCATGTCTCAATCCATTCGAAGCATAATCGAAAATATGTACATAAAGTACGGAAACGCACGAAAAGTCACATAAAACTGTTCCGACCGCTTGTGATGCTGTAATTATCTCACGTATCACTCGAAAAAAATCTCCGAATTTAAATTTAAATGAATTTCGCCGTGAATATTGTTTGAAACTTTCGAGATGTTTGTGTTCCCATACATATCACTTTCTAAAGAGACAGCTAATAAATAAACTACCAACGTTTCGCAAGCCGACGTGTTAAAAGCCACGATCCCAGTCACGAATTCGACAGCACTTTGAGCCTGAAGACGCTTTAGTTTAATGTAATATGTAAGCAAATCAAATTAATCAAAATCGACGCCGTTTACAGTCATAATTCCGCACTGGATTAATTACGCGCTTAAACTTTCTTTTATATCAACGAAATTAATCCGTTTCTCGTGCGCACATCTGAACACACGACTTGAAATCGATGACATTGAAATTTCTTCTCCGGTTGCCTGCGGTCAGCACCCGGCAGAAACACACACTTCTATGGTTAACTCTTACAAAACCAATGTATATATAAACTTGAATAAGTACAAGCGTCCCGAGCGCAATCAGTATTTAACCGGCGACGACACGGAATTCCTCTTTCTGTGTTTTGTGCGCGCGGCGGCGTTCGGAATTTTACATCCTCACATTTATTTTTTTTAGGTCCGAAATTAATTTCCAAGGCGCGGACACGTGTTTCACGTTATAGATAAATAGATATCCACCGATTGACCAACAACTTCAAGCTTAAACTTAGATTAAGTTTACTGCTTCACCGATGGATGGAATTTAGATACTTTTTTTTTCGTTGTTTTTGTTTTGGCATAGAGATACTACCGAATATTTATAATTATCGTATTGGAATCTCTCGGGGGTCAGAGAGTCGCGCGATGAGGGTGCTATGCGCGCACGGCTTGACGTGCCATTTGTAACCCGCTGCACACCGGCATTCGGACGACCACATCTTTAACACTTTCTGGCCGGCGCGGCGAGTTTCTTCTCGGGACGCTTTGATTCTCCTGATTGCTTTGTGCCGGCCGGAGGAGCCACATTCCTGCCTGATTTCAATATATCAGTCACGGGCGAATGTCGAAAAAACGCGCACAAAGAGAATTACCGCGAAAAATACATCGGCAAAAAAGGAGAGAAATTCCTGCTTTGATCAAACTAAGAATTTAATTTTATAAAAATTTGAATTATTACTGATGTATCCACCAACGCAAACAAAATTTTACTTTGTTTTTCGTGAGATTTTGAAAGTTTTTTTTTTTGACTTGTAAAATAGTTATTAGTGTGATTTATGAACACACAATATTTGTACAGATGTCTTCCTTGCCTCAAACTTGTTTCTAAGACTTTAAAACTACAATGTTTAATTATTTTCTGTGTTAAAAAACTTTTAAAAATGAAAAATTTAAAAATTTATTTTTCCAACCGGCACGCGACAATCACACTTCAATTCGCATTTAAATGTAAATTCAGCCCACTATGCAAATAGTTCTTATAGAAAACTAAGATCACTTTCCTTCCTGCCTACCCGACCACCCCTTAAAAAAAGGTCCCGCAAAGAAATCAAAGGGTTCGCAACGGCGTGCGTCCGGCTCGCGCCAAATTTGCATCTAATTTAAATCCTATCGCACTTAATGATGGTGTATGCGTTGTAAGGTTGATGTTGGTTGACAATACCTCTAAACATTCCTATCGGATATCCAACAAGAAACACAATGTTAAGAAGTGCCTCCTCCTCCGGTGCGTAGCGTATACATTCGAACACACACACTCGAATTTCTTTTCCGAATATTAATCACACACTAGAGCGCAATTCGATGTCGGTTTGCCGGTTGTCGTGCGCACTTATTAGCTTGAGATTATTTATCGAGATTATCTTCGTCGCAGGTTGTTGTCCGTCGCTGGTGATTTGCTGTTGCGGATGCGAAGTCGTTGAACACAAAAATTTACAATTAAAAACTGCTAGGTATCACTGTGGCGCGCACATTTGGATATATTGAAGTAATAATGTTGGTTCGACGTTGCTGGCGGCGGCGGAACGCGTACTCAAAAACAATATGCACAGGTGTTCATTGATGGGAAATTATAACATAGCACAGCGCGCGGCCGGACGGCAACGGACAACATAGCCGCTCGACGGTGAAACTTGAACTATGTTGTTGATATGTTCTCGGCCAATAGGGGGCGGTTTGAGAGTGGGGGCCACAGGCCGGCGCCCCCACCATCAGGCGCACGGCGCACGGCCTGCCTGCGTCGCACACCTGGGCCCAAGTCGGGGTAGTGGGGTACGCGCGCGTCGCGGACGTCGTCGGGTGGGGAGGACGGTTGAACGCTCTCCGCGCGCCGCCGAACGCAATGAGTTTAAAGCCGCTAGATTTGCAACAATTTCGCGATTTTTTCTCTTCGGGTGCCGCGCGGATGGCCACCACCCCTCACGGCCCATCCGATTCGTTGGGAGGCGAGATACTCTTCTTCACAGCACCACGTCTCGGTATGTATCTATTTATTTTTATTCCGTCCACATTATCATACAATCTATCACCCAGCAAACCCACTGCCATCTTCGCGATTATTGTTAAATACATGCGGAGTCATTTAATTACGCCAATCACGAGTAAATAATTAAACGCAAATGAATTAATGAAAGAGACGAACGAAAAAACACACTCATATCCTGTATGCTCGCGCCGAAGCATCGCGTGTCGTTAATAACAACAAAAAATATTCATAATAACACATGATGAGAATGAGAAGACCGTGCGTACTGCTTTTTTTCCAATGAAATATTAATTAGCGTTTAATTTCGATAATTACACGCCGCTGTGATCCATCCAGAACGATGTAATGTAATTTGTAGCGAATAAAAAGTTGATTAAGAAAATGACCAGTGGGACGCAAATTGAATAAGCATCGACTCGATAATTGCCGGAAGTCATCGAGGGAAGTCTTAAAATGCCACAAATATCCAAGAGACACGCATCACTTGCGTCGAAAATATAAATTTCGTCTAAGAACAAAAAATATTTCGATTCTCATTGAATATTTATTCATTTCTGTTTCTCTTCAAGCTTGTTAATCTGTTCTCGACGAAGCAAAGAACTTGGAAGGAGCATTGAACACACTCGACACAATGTTTGCTGGGGATTGTAGCTGGATTTCGAATTCCGATAGACTCGATGCGAACAGCGGCCTGCGAACGCGAATAACATTTATCTCATGACCGTACGAAGAACTCGATAGATCGTAACGTCAATTTTATTTCTGCGAAATCTGCGCAGAAATGCACTTGAACTTCGACATTGACTATTCAATAGTCAACACACCGATCGCGGTTGTTAAATGTTTCATAATCTTTAACAATAAATAAATACTGAATAAGTAGGTATATAAATTGAATGTGTGTTTGTGGGGAGCGCTTTTTCGTTGGCACACGCGAGGTAAGTACGTGCCGCCGCCACGCGGCAACGCTCCGAAGTATCTGGCACGTCGCCGCCTCCGCGCGCGCGTGATTTTTTCCCTTCTACTCGTCCTTTCGCGCGGCAAAGGACCGCGCGCGCGGAAACTTTCCTCATTTCGAAGTCGACCATCTAGTGTGAAATAGTCGAGACGCACGCCGCCCCCACCAGCATACATTCCTACATATTCCTATTTCCTACAACTTACTAACTAAATCAAATCAAAATTATTTCATGATTTTTTTCTGCTGGCGTGTAGGTAAATTAAATTCTAATAAAGAAAATGACTTTATACCTACAAGTTTTTGTTTTGTTGTATTTTATATGTTTGTTTGTTTGTTTGAATAAAACTCTAATTAAACTCTCGTTTTTTGTGCGCCGAAAAATAATGGCCGCCGTCTTTTGTCCACACTCGCTTCATTTTTTTTTCGTCTCCGTGCGCATTGTGCTCGCCGTACGTGCTCTTTGCGCGTTATTACGATGGCGGAATATACATAATGAAAGCCTTGATGGACGCACCGCGTAAGAAACGCAAGAGATTACCGCTTAATTTCCCTTCCACGTCGCTCCACGCGGTCACACAAAGCCGCCTCACTCACACACCCACATCCACAAAAACGTTAAAAACGCAAAAACCAAAAAATTACATTTCCTGCTTTCGGCAGCGAAAAAATTTTAATAACCGATACACGTTCAAAGGCGAGTTAATTGCCGGAACGAGCGTTAATTAATTAAACAATAGGCAGACGTGGATTTTTGTGTGTAAACACAGTGTGAAATTATGACAAAACACCGGCAATTACCGCCTCGCGGACCGAGGAGCGCCATCTAATCTAATTAGATCAGCCAGGAGATAAGTCCACTTAGGCCACTTAAGTTTCCACGTTTCATGCCGTTTGAAATCCACACCGTACACCACCCTCGACATGGACATTACACGGCCGCATTAAAACACGATGGGATGTATCAGATCGTGAGTGGCGACGAAGCGTGAGACTTTTGCATTGGACGCAAAACCACAGCGAAGAAAATCAACGAAAACAAAAGCGTATGTTGTACGCAATTGAATGTCTCGGCGGCCATTTTATCCCACAAAACACACATTACTCCTTACTCCGGAATTATTTACATTGTTTCAACGCGTCTAATGTGTAATTATCTGATTTAATCAACACCTCCGCTATGAAAACAAAAATTTGAGGTTATATTAACGTGAATTTGGTTATGTCCCAATTTGAAATGAATTTCAATTGACCACGAACTGAAAAAAATAAACTACAGAGCGGAGGTGAAGAGTGAAGAGGTAAAGAGTGTTTCGGTCGTCGTTGCTTGAGCTTTTGAGCATTTCGTCGACACATCGAACGCTCGAATATGAAACGCATTTGTTCACGATAATGATGCACATCCTGTGAATGGCGATGGCGAGCCGAGCCCGGGTTCATTCATTCATTCGACTGTGTGTGTGTATTTATATATTGAGTTCTGTATTCTCAGATAAAATTCATCAGACGGTAAGTATCCAACACGACAACGGATATTTGAGGTTAGAATTAATTTCGTCTTCAATTCTGTGCGCTTGTTACTTACTACTAGGCAAAACTTGGAGGTTGTTAGAGAAGTAGTTGTATAGTTGTGGTAGTGGTAAGGGATGATACGTGAGCGGCGTTGCACGTCCGGGGGAGTCATTGATTGCATCGGAAAGTGTCACCTACTCGCATAAGACTTGCTAAGTAGAAATTCAAAATCAATAAGTATTCCATTTCGCGCGGCGTAAATGTGCGCGCCGAGGAGACGAGCACAAACACACATACATACACGAACGAGAACACCCACCCTTCTTTCCTCCTTTTTTTTTACTTCTTTTACTTCTTTACCCTCGTTCAGAGAAAGGGTCTCGGTCGTGTTCGGCAGCTTCCGGGGCGCTGGATGGATTTTTTGTCGTGTTAGCTATTCTACATACGATCTGCATACGTACTGTGCGCAGTTTTCAGGGCACAAAGAAGGAGAATATAAAAGGCGACGCCTTTAATTTTCTTCTTAGAATGTGTATATGTTAAGTATACCGGTCTAAAGTTATCTTAGTTATGTTTCTGCGTAGTTTTTATTGATTTATTTAAAAACTAACAAAGCTACAATAAAAATTTAAACAGAAATTGATTTGGCAAAAAATTATGCGTTAAATAGATGTATACTTAGGTGGATTTAATTTAAATTAAAACCGTTATTAACAATTAACTAAAATGTTCTTTAATTTTTATGCTTGCAAATTTATTCGGGTTATAATTAATTATTTATTGTAGTAATCAACATGCTTATTTAACAATTTGATGCATAATTTAATCCGTAATGCATTTATAAAAAAATTGGTAAAATAGCTCTTAGAGTTTTTGATTAATCAGTAAAAGAGTAAGAAAAAACATAAAATTGATTGATTTTAGACCGGTATTCATAACATATAGCTTATAAACCAAACCGTACTAAAAATATCTTGCTTTTATAAACTTTTCGACCACTAAAATGAGGATTTAGACATAAATTAATTTGGTAATCAATTTCGTGCGTAATCAGTTTCTATTTGCCCTTTGCTCACCAAATGCATGTCCATACCACGACAGGAAACGTGAATGAAACTCACCTGAAACGAAGAAACAGAGAAATAAGTAAACACGGCAAGTCGACCAAACAAAAAACGGTTCATTGATGAAACGATATAAATTTCGTCTGTGAGAAACGGCCAAAGAAAGAAGGAGTGGCGCGCACGTTAACCTTTCACCTATTAGTTGTGTTTAATTATAGACCTCGAGACGTGAAACGACGCTCGGTTTTTGTTTAATCTCGCGTTTAGCTCGAGCGCAGCATAATTTGCCTTCGAATTATCACGCCATTTACATTAGAAACCCAACGAGAAACAACAACACAACAAAAAGCAACGTCACACACACACCACAACACAAAATACCAAAAAAGTCTAAGTAACTCCACTCAAAACTAGGTGCACACACAGAGCGCCGAGAGTCAGAGAGTCAAGAAAGGAAAAAATCACGCTTGGAATTACATTCAAAAGAATTCGAATATGATTATATGAGTGTAAAAGTACAAACAAAATAGGAAGAAAAAAATCAAGAGAAACACACAATAATGACTTATTTGAATACATGAATATTTAATGCTCGCGTAATATAAGTTATAAGTTATGAATTATTGAATGGAAACACGACGACGCCGCGAACGCAACAAGAAATGTGTACGGCACACACCTATGATCATGTTGCTGTAGTAGTTATAGTGCTAGTAGTACATAAGTATGTATAGTGTTCAAAGTTGCAAGTTGGAAGTTGGAAGTGGAAGGCAAAACTTCTCCGCGCCGGGTTAAAGCTTTACAACCGACAATGGCAAAACGCAAAACACACTGCAACTACAACGCACGAAACGAAATTGACTTGTAAAAGTTGATATCACAATTTTCACTCTGCATAATAACTAGAGTGTTGCGCGCACTCATTTCTTTATTATCCGGAAAAGTCGCAAAACAACAAATGCAGAAAATCGAGAAAATGTCGTAAAATTAAAGGAGCTGAACAGAAATGTTGTGTTTTATGTCGAAATAATTAAATTTAAACCGTTTGGAGGAAGCAATTTAGTGGCTCGTAATAATTACCATTAATTTCACTCCGGAGTACACTAATTAAGGGTCGTCGGAGGCGGCGGTTTGAGAGTCCACTTATTACCGAGATTCGCCGGAGCTCCCAAGCGAGAAAGCGAGGGTCCTGAGCGGCAGCCACGGCTCTCATTAAGGGATTAATGGAGACATTGTTTGAAAGCGTCTCCGCCGCCCCCGCGATGCAAATTAACCTCTTGGCATGCAAATTACAAGCGCACACCGACGCCGACAACTTGTAATACAATGTTAATTAAACAACTCAACACACAACTACAAGTTAAACTAGAAATTGTGGTTATGTCAGATTTGGTTATGTTAGGTTATGTTTATCCATATAATGACAATATCGTTGGGTTACGTTTTTCACAATGAATAATTTAAGCGGTGTCTCGTTTTCCGCGCACGATAGGCTCGTTATTAGATTAATAGCAAGCAAACGACAATCATGTATCATTAAATTAAACGCAGCGCAATGTAAAAATAAAAAATAAATACAAAAAAGAGAAAAACTTGATGCATTTTCTATTTTTTCACATCGTTGTGAATTAATGAGTCGCCGTCGACGTTTAATAATGCAAATCACAATTCATTCATATTTAATACATAAGTATTTTATTACAGTAGCAACATAACCTTAATACGTATTATTAGGCAACCAGTAATACACAATTCGCAACAAGTCAATTATTATCACGGTGCAAATTTAAACTTAGGGTGTTGAACGGGGGTGTAAATCTCAGTTAAGCAAATTAACCCTTTGACGCCAAAGCGAGGATAAAGGGGGATGTAAACGAGCGGCGGCGCGGTCATTAGCATGCTGATCGTCGGGGATGTTCATCATCACCAGTGTGGCGGTAGTTAAAACAGATTTTAAACATCGTGCCGCCGGCGCTGAGAGCAACAGGTTGTCATTAATTAATAGCGCCGGCATCCCCTTAATTACCCCTTTCGACGCGGTCCATTATGCAAACGCGGTTGCACCCCCACACAACCGTTAAATGTATAATTACTTCGCGTGGAACAAGGGATGATAAGCTTTCGTAATTGACTCAACTTTCAACAGAAATTAAAAACTTTTTTCCTGTGTTATGGACCAACCCCTTGAAGATTTCATTAAATTTTCCACCCCTTTTTATTCCTCGACTGCCTGTAGCTGCTTTCAAGATAAATTTTAAAGCGTGAGGTTGATAAATCGAAAGAGGTGTGTCCGGAGTGTCAACGTGGTGTTTTTAATTGTTTGAGAAATTAAGGAGTTTGTTTGA